CCCCCCCCCCCCCTCCCTACCCCCAGGCCTCCGTTGCTATCCCACCCGCTACTCGGGAAACAGAAGGAAATCGCACTCAACACACTTGTGTGTTGGTGCCTTTCCTTCTGTTTCTCCTAGCTATTGCTAGCTACCCGGGCGGTTTAAGACGAATGTCCCGCTCGCCTTCTACTTTCGTTTAACTAAGTGGGCCTCGTAACTACCCTACTTTTCTTTCTTGCCCTCTTAGTCTGCTCTTGTTTCGTTGCTTTTTCTGTCTTTCTAAGGCTTTTTAGGTGTCTACTAGTTCTTCGTTGCGCCAACAATTTGGCGCTTTTTGTACAAATGTTCCCCTGGGAGTTAGGACGCTACTGGAGGCCCCAGGCCTTACTACTACTTTGACCGCGCCGAAAACGGCTCTGTGTGTGTGTCCACCCCTGGGAAAAAGGTTTTCGTCCACTGGTTCAACGGTAGGGGGTGTCTTGAAAAAGCGCCGAAGCCGGCGACTTGTGTGTGTCCACCCCTGGACAAAGGGTTTCCTTCGACCACTCCAATCAGGCAGGGGGGCAGAGAGGACTTGCAAAGCTCTGCCCAACGAAGCTCTTTGCAAGATCCTAGGAAGCGGAAGCTGATCACTTCCGTGTACCTGCTACCTGAACTTTTGACCACGCTGTCTAATTTGCCTTGTTTGTTTCCATGGTTTTTCATGCTACCACCCCCAAACCTTTTCCCCACCGCAGACTTGCAGCAGACTTGAGGCCGCGCAGAGTGTCCGATCGTTTTCGAGTGCAGCTGCCAACACTGTTCAACAATACAGTTTTTGCGGACTTATGCACCTTTCCGTTCCTTCGCCTTCCTTCCCATCGTGGTAACTGAGTTCACTGAATACAAGTGTCAGAGTGTGTTGTACTTTTATTTTAACATTGTATTCAGTGTTGGTTTTGTACCCCTCTTCAAGTGGAGGAGTACAGGGGGCAATTAATGGTATCATTGTGCAAAGGGCATTGACATCAGCTGTCTGCGGACAGAAAAGCCAAGGTCAAAACGATCTCCTACCGTCTGCAAAGTGATATGAAGTGATCTCAATGACCTCGAAGGATGAGAACTTGACGAGAACTGAACGCAGAACCCTCATGAAGGCACTGAAGAGCTGTCTAGAAACTCTCATGCAAGTTGCTTTACCACTCATCTGGCGACTAAATGCCTACTGCCTGCTGTACTCCCAACCAACTCAGCCCTACAAGTGCAGCATCTCCAAAGCTCTGGCGCAGAAACACTCAACAATCTATTGGACTACCTCTCAAGGCGGCTTCCTACTACAAATCTCACTCGAATTGCTGACATGTCTCCTTACAACTTTCGCTCGTTGTAAGTTGCTTCCTCTCAATACAATTCAATACTCTCAAGGAAACTGCATGCGATTTAGTATCGGTATCAAAAGAAATGCATACAAGTCCTGACTCATGCTTGGTCACGATATTGATACGAGTTTCAAGGGAACCTTTCAGTGAATTTCCACAAGATTTACACCAAAGGATTCCCCTGATGCAAAGCATCCTGTCCCACTCGGGTCTCTCATGGTCACTCCGTCGACCCGATAACAAAACCATACAGTCACCATAGAGTATACATGTACTAGCGGGCCTCCGACCTAATAGCGATGGCCTCCGACCAACTATACACATGTACTATACCTGCACCTACTTCAAAGGGACAGTATTCAAAGTAGACCCCCAAATCAGGGGTCTATATAACATGAAAAAAAAAAGCATGAACAGCTAGTTTGTATACCATGTTAGATGGGGGGTACAACATTAGCACGGTCTAACGTGTTTTTCTCACCAAGCGACTTATTGCACATCTAGATGTTACCTTTGTTGCAGACCCTCGTGATGCGAAACATTGCAAAAAGAAAGTAACAGAAAGCAACAGCATGGTAAAAAAGAAGAAACGAGGGACGCATTCCCCAGGAAATCACTCAAAGGTCCTAGAAACAAGGACACCTCTCTTCCAGTTTCTCTCTCTCTACATTGAAAGTTACATTCCAGAGGTCTACATTGAATTGTTAGACCTCAGCCTCCTCATACCCTAAGGTACACCCATTCTAGACCCTAAGTAGTTGAGGGTATCATGCACTTATACATTGTATGTATATATTATATATACAGTAAATCAAAGTGCTTGGGGGAAGGGATTTTAATATTGCATTGGCATGCATTGGCATTGTTGCCGTGTATTGGAGCATCAACATGATGCCGCTAATGTTCACGTACCTGGATCTTATGTATAAGTATATTGTTTATCATTGTTTACATCTGAATCCGCATCACCTTGAAACTCCCGACAAGGAACGATGTGAACCATGGTCAGTGCACAGTGATGTACATAGTGCACATCTTCATCAAAACGAGTCTACCAAGCCTCTCTGGTAGGTTGGAGGCCATCGCTATTAGGTTGGAGGCCATCTCTAGGAGGTTGGAGGCCATTGCTAGTAGGTGAAGAGAATGCACTTCCAAACCTCAAGAGAATGCACTTCGCCGGCATTTTTGGGCGCTGGTGAAACCACGTCTCCGAGCTCCTGGGAGGGCCTGGGAGGGAAAATGGAACGAAGGACCACGTGGGGAAGCAGCTGGAGATATTTTCATGCCCAAAGCTCTGCAATCAAAACACAAAAAAGGAGAGGTGCCTGAAAGAGTGTCTTAAACAATCCTTTTTGGGCAAACTTGCGGGTCAATTAACCAAATCTCTCAACAAATCCAAGCTACCCAGAATGTCATCCATGGTGACTTCAGACATCATCCGTTTGCGAAGAGCTTGCCTTCTGAAGCGTTCAGCCTGCTGCTCCTCCCTAGCACGTTTTCGCCTCGCAAGTTCCAAGTGCCGGCGTTCCGCCAGCTTTTTTTTGCACTGCCGCATCAATCTTCGTTGAAGGATCTCCGCCACCCGTTCCTGTCTCTTCAAAGTCTTTGTCCATCGGAGAAGTAGTGCTCGCACCAAACACACCGTGTGAACTGCATGTAGGGGATGACGTGTACGAACACTGAATCGAGCTGCCCTGTGCCTATTCAAATCATGCATGCACATGTGCTGCCGCTCCCAGTACTGCAAATGTCTATTCCGCACAGCTGCATGTGAGTTGTACAGTGCTCGCATCCTACGCAATGGAAGCATGCTGCGACCTTGCCCTGTGCCTTCCCACATCTCCTTGACAGCATTCTGAATACCATCCCACAGATTTTCAAGCTCCACAGGACCATAACGCCAAACCATGCTCCCTGGTCCTCGACTGACATACAGCCTCACACATTCGCGAAAGGGATTCATGCATCTGCGCATCTTCGCCAGCTCTTCAATTGAGCGGACGGTGGGGGACGTGACAGAGTTCCCTGATCCCAAAAAGAAACCAAATTTGGGACGAACTATAAATCGAGGACTCAAATCTTCATAGCTCCTGCCAGGGTGGGCCTCATGGCTCTACTAGTTTTGCTTTTTGATACCATCAGTTGAATCAACAACCGCTACGCTGCACATGCTTGAAAATTGATGCCGCGTGCAACATGGCATGACCCTCGACTTAGCCAAACATTGACCATTGACAATCTGCAAAATACCCAACAGAAGTCGAGAGGCGCTGGTTTTGGGGTTCAAGACTCCTACAAGTAGCACTTGAATGCTCCATAAAGAAAAACCAACAAGTTCCGTGAATTTGCTATAATACATTGGAAGGAACAAGGTTCCTGATTGCATGCTGCCCATTTATTCCCACACCCTGCCTTCCATGCTCGACAAATGCTGACTGCAGCGTGTCTCGGAAAAGTGTCTCGAAAGTGGTGTCAGCATCCTGTGAGGCACCCTGCATATTCTGCTTGAAAGATGTAAGGATTACTAAGAACTCGACAGCTGTTGGCAAATCGCACTCACGAGTATATATGGCAATGTTGTCAATACTCACATTGGCTCTGTAGACGCGATTCGCCTCAGAAGTACGTCGCCCAGACAGAATACCCCTCATGTCAACTCTCTTCTTCTTTTTGCGAAAAGTCTTCGGGTATGGTGCTGCTGAAATCAAGCTCAAGCTTTTGGATGCGCCATCTGATGTGACATCACACGGTGTGTCTGTCAAAGATGCCGAGCTTTTCTTGCAAAAGATAGGCTCTGAAGCCTGCAATGGACCAGTTGAAGCAGGCTCGGAAACTGGTGTCTCGTGTGTCTCTGCGTCGGCGGCACGCTGAAGCACAATCCACTTCTCCAGAAGCACACGCTGCTTCTGCGAGAATTCCTTCTGGATGAGCATGTTGCGAACCTCTTGGGGTAGTCCTTTCAAAAGCCGATAGAGCTTCACTAGCAGTTTGTCATGCGAGTAGCTTGGTGCAGACTGCATATTGTCTGACTTCTGACTTGCAGAATGCTTGCGCTGAGGCCTAGAATGCTCAGCCTCCGTAGTCTTGGCATCCTTTTTTGCATGCCGCCTCTTCTGCTTTGGCAACTTGGGTGTAGGAAGCTGGTTGTCATATCGTTTGCGGGCATCTGGGTCAGCCAAAGTCTCAAAGGCTTGGTAGACTGAATGAAATGCTTCTTTGCTTCCACCTGCATATCGAAACATGGTGGTCTGAACCACATTCGATAAAAACAGAAACGTCTTTCACGGATCACATTCGAATTAGTTCTTATTAAAAGGATATCAAATGTGCGGGACCAGGTATGTCCAAAGAGAGCCTACGCTTGGAGAGTAGGCCAACTCCACGTCAAACCGCATCAAGCCAGTGATCCCGACAACACCACTCTCACTCTGATCGAACATCTAATAAGCTACAAAATGCCACAAGATGCTAGTTGGAGGCCATCGCCATTAGTATCAAGAAACTACTAGGAGCTCCTGGCATCGCTACTAGAAGCAAGGACGCTACTAGTAGCTCCTGGCCTTACTACTAGGAGCAAGAAGCTATTAGTTAGAGGAGATTGAACAATCTGATGGGGTAATGGATCTCGCCTTTGTCCGGATGAACCTGCAAAGCGCGTCGCTTGAATGCGAGTTTTATCTCATCAGTGGTGGCATCTGTCTTCACGTCAAGCACACAATAGAAGGAAGTGGCCATAGCTGCCATGCTGGGCGACAGGGAACTCAAGGATACTCAAGGTCTGCCCCAAAAACTGAATCAATGTGACAATCACACCTATACACAGAAGATCGAAAACATTTGGATTGAACTCTTGCATCTTCAACGTGTAGCCTTTCTAATGAATTTGCTTCTCAAATATATAGTACCAGGCTCTCTTAGCCCATTGATTTACGTTTGGTTTCTGTGGTTTTTGTGGACATTGGCCAGCTGCTTCCACTTTGTTGCCCAGCATCTCGATGGTTGAACAAATGTGCCCACACCGGTCAGAAAGGAAAGGTGAATCAGCCAAACGCATGATCGTGAAGTGATCGTGTCATTTCCCTCAAAGGAATTTCTCATCTTGGAGAGTTCTTAGTGTTTGACTAGCTAAAAGTTTTGGAGCAAAAAACAGTTGCGTCAATCAATCGTTTCTGCATAGAAGGCTCCTCCCTGAACTTCATTGAGTTTCTTCAGTGTTTGTAAAATCCTGTCAGGAATACCACGGACCCCCCGAGAACTCCTTTCAGCAAATCTCTCAAATTAAAGGGGCATCTCCTCCCAAATCCTGGCATCTCGTGATCTCGTTCGAAACAGCTTAATGGAGCGATGAGCGCTCTGAAACGTGCAACACCTTCATCGTCGTGCATCGTCTAAGGCTCAGAATCATAGCCTCATCCCTCACCCAGCTAGGGGCCCTGCGTCCTCGCCGGACCTGGATTGACAAAAGCGACGAAGATCCAAATCCGAAAAGCCGCTTGTTCTTTAGATCAAATAGCAATGGCCCCCAACCTAATTACTAGCGATGGCCTCCAACCTAATAGCGATGGACTCCAACTTAACAGCGATGGCCTCCAACCTAAAAGCGATGAACCTACTAGCGATGGCCTCCAACCTACTAGCCATGGCCTCCTACTAGCCATGGCCTCCAACCTACTAGGAATGGCCTCCAACCTACTAGCCATGGCCTCCAACCTACTAGCAATGGCCTCCAACCTACTAGCAATGGCCTCCAACCTACCAGCGATGGCCTCCAATCTACTAGCAATGGCCTCCAACCTACTAGCAATGGCCTCCAATCTACTAGCAATGGTCCAACCTACTAGGAATGGCCTCCAACCTACTAGCGATGGCCTCCAACCTACTAGGAATGGCCTCCAACGTACTAGCGATGGCCTCCAACCTACTAGCAATGGCCTCAACTACTAGCAATGGCATCCAACCTACTAGCCATGGCCTAGCAAACACCTTTCTGTCCTTCTAATCTGAGAAACCAGTTGGAGAAACATGCTGTGAAGCCTCCCAGCCTGGCCCACCGTGAAAGCGACAGTGGGACCCATGTTCTGATGGTCGATGTGCAACCGATTCCATGGCCGCCAGGCAGTGTCTGCAGGGTGGATTGAATCGCCACTGCGTTCAAAACGACAAAATGGTATTGATTCAAACAGGTTTCGTCATTTGAACCCAGTTTCGAGCGAGAATAGTAGGCCAGTCCGAACCAAACACTATAGGATTTACTCGCAGGAGGGGCACCCAAAGGAATGACACAAAAAGCAAGAAAATCCGCCTCGCAAGGAGATTTCACTGTGATTTACTTCTTTAGAGTACACATTCCACTGATATCTGCTGAAATCTCCACCAGAATTCAGTAGGCGCAGCCGGGCCTGCAGGCTCCATTGGCTCATCCTGCACCTCATCCAGCAGAAGCGTCCGGGGCTGCCCACAGAACTGGAAGATCCTCAGGAAGCCGAGATAGCAAACTATAGTAGACCTTCCTGCCTTGTCCAAAGAGCAATGGCCTCCAACCTACTAGCAATGGCCTCCAACTTGCTAGCAAACTGACTGTATTAGACCTTTCTGCCTTTTCGTGCTTCTGTGTTTCTAATGGCGATGGCCTCCAACTTAGAAGCGATGACCTCCAAGCTACTAGAGATGGCAGGAACCCGAAAACTTTATATAACTCTCCACATCACGTCAAGCACTGACATGCAAGACTGCCTTCTTTCACAGCTATATGCAAAACATGGCAAAAGACCTTCTCTCGAAACCTCATATATTGTGACTCTGTAAATCTTTCTGCTAACTGCCCGAAGGGAAGCTTCGGATAGAGCCCCAGAGGTAACCAAAAAATACAGAAAATTCAAAAATAACGACTCGGCCGGGCCAGGATGATGGCTTTCCTGTGCCTGGAACGGAGCACCCTCCGAAGAGGGCCTCCAGTAGCATCCGACTGGGTGGGTCTCCCTTCGTGTTTTTCTTCGGGGTAGGTTGGAGGCCATCGCTAGTAGTTCCCCCTTCGAGTCTCCCTTCGTCGCTCGCCTTTTTGTCAACTAGGGCTGCTGCATGAAGAGTGGCGAATAGGCGCCGCCCGTGAAGAGCCGGCTCACCTCATAAACCTGCACTGCTTCGGAGTAGAAGAGGAACACTTGGCAAAAGCCAGCAACAGAATGGGAGAGGGAAAGGTCTGAAGAAAAAAAGAGACAGTGCGATGCTTCCATGCATTACAGTGACGTGACGAATGCAAAGCCATGCCTTTTCAAAAGACTGAATGTGGCTGAAATCACAGCATCAAAGGCACACAGCGAAAACCAGGAAGCTATATACAATCACATCTATGGAGCGGTTTCGACCATGGGAAGGACTCTTAAAAACATCTCTTCCACCCTTGAGCCTGCGCTACCTCGGGTAGCTGCAGATGGTACGGCAAGCGGCGATTGCACAGCAAAAAGCAAATCTTGGCGTCAAATGGCAAAGGGACCACACTGCCTCAGAAGGGCATCGCCACTAGGAACAAGAAGCTACTAGCGGCTCCTGGCCTTACTATCAGGAGCAAGAACGCTACTACGGGCTCCTGGCACCGCTACTAGGAACAAAGACGCTACTAGGAGCAAGAATGAAGCCAATGGGATGCCATGGACGGTCTCTGGTCTCTCGGTAAGCCTGTTGGCGTACACCCCTCTATTGAAACAACTCAAACAATGCACATGTGATGCCTGGGCTGCTTGAAGAACTTTACAGTTTCCTTTAGCTTTCGTTTTTCATTGGTCTTCTCAACCCTCAGGTTCTTTAGAGGCCAAAGGTGACACATCACCGAAGCCCACTGAACTGGTCCCAGTAACGCTTCTCCTCCATGGTTCGCTGCAGGCGCGAAACGATGCCGGAGTGCAGCGAGTTGCCACGCAAGTCCAAAGTGGCCAAGGTGCCTCGGAAACTTCCCAAGTCTTCATCGACGTAAACGACAAACAATCCCTTTCCCATGTTTTGCCACCAAACAACCCCAGCATTGCTTATAGATGCTTATACTTTAATCGGTTCCTGTGTGCTGATTCTTGTTCAGTTGCCTTGCAGCACCCGGCATTCCAACTTGCCTCGTGAGTGTCACCAAGAGGTGGACGGGTTCCGCGCCTCTCAGAGAACGCCTTCTTTCGCTTGGGATTGCATCAAGGGATCTCAACATATCGCACGGGGGCACCAAAAGGGCTTCCCCTTCGCCAGAAAGGCTTCCTACCGCATCCTACTCCACGTCCTATATCGTATCATCAAGGTTCCGTGTTCATGAACACGTTTCTTGAGGTGGGGCTTCAAGAACTTGCATTGCCAAGGCGTACTAAAATAGCATGTCTTTGCAACATTCGTTGCAACTCCTTAGACCGAGACCCTGAGATCCCCATTAAACCATAGATGAGTCCTGCCATAGGAGCCAGCAGAGTGCAGAAGAGTTTGAGAAAAAACTCTGACCATGACAGGTGGGACATCTTGCTTCTTTTGATTGATGGTGCTAGCAAGTGTCAACGACTCCTATGTCGCGGATTCTAATGAGGAGCAGGACTTTTTTACAGAAAGCCGATCCTCATCCTCGAACTGCACAACCCGAACTTGCAATACAGTGTGTTCGTGGTACATTGACGCTCTTTTTTCCGAAGTATCGATATTAATATAGATAGATAACAGATAGATAGATAGATAGATAGAGAGAGAGAGAGAGAGTGGTGAGTCGCTTTGAAGCTTAGTTTGTCGGATGTTCAAGAGGGTGAGAGTCTCAAAGGAAAAAGTCATGGCCTGCCGGCTGCCCCTGTCAGATAGATCGGTCCAGCCGGGTCCAGCTTGTTCCTAGTAGCGCCAGGAGCTACTAGTAGCATTCTTGTTACTGATAGTAAGGCACTTGTTACTAGTAGCGATGCACTTGTTCCTAGTAGCTTCTTGTTACTGGTAGTAATGCCCTTGTTACTAGTTGCTCACGAATGCTCCTCTGAGCAGTTCCAATGTTGTTGCCTTTTGACATGGGACAAAGGTGACAAAGGTTTGCCATACATATGTGCTTGCACAACTTGACCATGAGATGAACACCCTATGATTTCAACAAGTAAGGATACAGTATATATCTTTTTGATTGCGCTGTTTGTTCTGTCGACTTGAACCTTGTCATATCGTGATATTATTGTTCGATACCTGATGTATGTCAAGGGGTCTTGGCAGGGCGAATGTCGACTCCTACGTTGCGTTTGGGAGCAGGTATTTTCTGTTTCTTCGCTGGTGTGAGGACATGTCTTGCGAAGGAGGTCATGCTGAATGGCGCAACGCCAGGAACTGCATGGCCCTGCTGATTCTTCCACCTCTTGGTCTTAGCTGACTGAAGACTACACGCCCATGACATCCTACGACATCCTCTGACACAAGGCATGGCACTATTCACCTCCATGGCCTTGGTGAAGTCGAGCATCTCCTCAGCACCGACACCGCACTGGGCGGAAAGCATGTGGCACACCTGTGGAGAACAAATGAGAACAAAAACATGAAACAACATTTACATACATTTACAGTCACTGAGTCTTTAAACGCTCTATTATATGTAACATGATGTAGTTGAATGAGCACTCGTACATTCCATGCAAGTCCAAAGCATCTGCGAGTGCATGATGGGATGATCCGCATTCCCCAAAAAAATGCGGCTGAATGCGACTTGTTCAGCCTCACCCAGCTACGAGTACTTGAATCTTCAGTCTGATGAATGACTTTGCACATGAATGACTCTGGCATACTTCGACTTAGATGACTCATCAGGTGTTTCGGAAACGATTTTCCAAGTCTCCGCTGTGTAGTAGGATGGCGTCTGGATGTTCTGTGCTCGAAGTGTTTGAAGCTTCTTATCTTGTCGAAGGAAAGATGCCAGGTGCTCCATGCCGGCCTTCCAAGCACTGAACCAGTGTGGCTGGCTGCCGGAGCTCGAGTAACACAACGGTTCTCAACACAAAAGGTGCAAGCTTTTCTCTTGGCTTGTGCTTGGACAAAGGAGGCCGGGTCAATTCCAAACTGTGTTGGCTCAAGCTGGCTCAAACCTTCCTGGAAACTTCTTATTCTTCCTTTGCTTCCTTCAAGGTCATTCCACGCACCATCAAACACCATCTCACCAATCTCTCTCTCTGATCTCACCTGCCTTCTTCAGTGGCTGCCCAGAGATATCTAGGAAGGTCACCTAAGCCATTGCTCCAAGCCAAAAAAAAACAGAATAGAAACTGACATGATTTGACGCATCACAGATCGTCAAATAACGCCAGAAGTGCCAACCTCTGTATGGTCCAACCTCGGTCCAACCTCTGTATGGTCCATCTAAGGCAGCTTGCCACTTGCGCGTCCCATGAGGCTCATGACCATATATGCTACTAAGCAGCACTTTGGATCTGCAACACCGTCATCAGAACGGCCTCACTGTCAACTTGTGTTGACGTCAACTCTTAGGTTGGAGGCCATCGCTAGTAGGTGGGACTCGCCTCATCAGGTCTCAGCGCGGAGGTCTCGGCACTCCAAACACCGCCGAGGGGCACTCAAGGCGCGGGCATCCAAGCCGCAGCGTTGCAAGTCCAAGTGACGAAGACCAGTTTGTCTCGGCAGAAAGCTGCTGGCGAAGACCTGATCACTGCCGAGCAATAGAATGCAAGCCTGAGAAAGGAGGGGACGAAAGCCAGCCTCCATGGTTATGGGGTGAGTTCGACGGCGCACTTCAACTGCTGTCGGCATGGTGAAATAGAAGGCAGAGAGGCACAAAGTCTCGCATTGAGGGCCGATATCTCATACACAAGGTCTTGATCAAGGCCCATTCACTGTTGGCGATTATTGGATAGAAATGGAGCCCATGCGGTAGGAGGGGGGTACCTTATTCTTTTGGTTCAGGGACGTTTTCAAGCTGAAAAAGGGCCATAGGATAGACGAGAAAACCAAAGGTTGAGAGACGCAGTTTCGCATTGAGGCTCGATATGGTAGAGCCTATATACACAATGCCTAGATCAACTCCCATCCGTCATTGCCTGTCATAGGATAGACTTCGATTTGTACAAATTTCCGACTCCCCTGAATCAAGACGCAGTTGTAAAGATTAAGCCGGCAATTAGCACAGTCTCGCCGCTTCTGTCCTCTAACTGGATGGGTTCCCTCAGTGTGGGCTTGCACATTGCACACTCTCCCCTTTTCTGTCCTCCAAGCAATACGGTGTAAATAGTCTCCTCAGCACTTCTTTGAGTTCTATCCAAACCCCCCACCCCTAAATAGACAGTTTAAATAGTCTCCTGAACACTTAGTGATGCCAATGATGCTTCAGCATTATTTGCACCACTCGCATCACCAAAACCAGCAAAACAATCCAAAACATACATGTTCACTACCTTCCTGACCGCCTCCTTTTTCCGCTCTCCCCAACCAGGCTCTGGGTTCACCCCGTAGATATAAGTTGTAAATGTATGTAAATGTAATCATGTCTTCTTTCTCGAGGCATTGGCGGATTTGCTTACTTTCTGAGAGCCCGGGCGCAGGTACCATGTGGCATCACCTGTCTCCCTTCCATACTGAACCTAAGCTCGGCACAGATGCAAATTTGTGCAAATGCACTTGCAAACGTTGACACATGTTGCAACGAGCTAGGGCAAGGGTCATCACACAAGTGTTCCTCTGATTCCAGCATCTGTCGTGCCATCGACACCATGACACAACACAAAAGAGTCTGGAAGTGCCGTGGAAATTCTGTCGCCGGCGTTTTGCAAAGCAACAACTAAACTACTCATTGTCAGTCTCATTGTCATTCATTGAACCAATGCTTTGCAGGTTGAATGAAGTGGCCACCCCACGGAAAATCAGCAAAGAAACACCTCAGCCGTGCCCTGGAGGGGAATGCCATTGTAGAAGCGCAAACCTCACACGAGAACACCTCGAAACAACATCATGGAGACTTTCTTGTATCATTCTATCTCTTCCTTTCAACCTGTCTATGACGAGCCCCATCATGTTGGCACCCATTCAGGGGAAACACAAACAATTGGTCGAGGATGGCTCAGAGTCTTGAGCAAGCATTACAGCAGCAGGAGCTTTATCAGTCTATCGAGGCTGTCCGGCGAAGCAGCCGGACGCTTCGGAAGCGAAACTTGCACATTGATTACAGTAATTGATATGTTGGCGCGCATCAGGCGCACGCAAACACACACACACATACATTTATACACATACAGTATTTCACATCACTCCAATGCGCAGCGACCTTCACCTTGAATGGCCTCCACCCTAGTAATTAGCCTAGTAGCTTCTTGCTACTGGTAGCGATGGCTACTAGTTTGTTGCAGTCCTTTCAGGCCTCGCTTCTCCAGGCTGAGCACGGCATCCACCAGGTGCTCGACTTCGAGGCCGAAGTCGTTCTGCCGAAAATCCACGCTCGTCAAGCCACCTCGCTCGTCAAAGCACCAACAGGGGCCCCAAGTTGGGACCAGCCGGACACCATGGCAGTGGAGGGATGAAAGCTTTCTTGGGGGTGAGAAGATTTGTGGAGTGAGAATGAGCGATATAATATGGAGTGCCGTTTTTGGTGATTCATGAGGACTATTGCTCTTACTAGCTCCTAGATCCGCTATAGTAGGGCCATCGCTCTTAGGCTGGAGGCCATTGCTCCTACTAGCGAACATTGCTCCTAGTAGCGATGCCAGGAGCCCCTAGTAGCGTCCTTGTCACTGCTAAGTCTCGGTTCGAACGTCGGCCGAGCGGCTGCTATGCTCTAAAATGAAGACCATCCTTAGACAAAGCACTTGTCTGAGCAAACTCTGGAAGCACGGGCGGTGGGGCACACTAATCTGGGAGACATTATGAACCACAAGGGGTGTCTAAGTCTGGCAGGAGGGATGCTAAAATATACATTCATTACTAGTAGTAGCAAGAAGCGACCAATAGCTAAGAGCATTACTTGTAGTAGCAAGAAGCTACTAGTAACAGGTGCATTGCTAGTAGTAGCAATATACATTCAGCACATTTCAGCATTGTGCACAGTTGGGGTCATCAAGGAGCCCACTACGATTTCACACACATGCTGCTGGGAGGCAACGGTGCGAGAGCGGAGCGATTGATTCTTTGAGAGCAGCTCAAGTCCAACGAATCAATGGAGCCATCCTTAGCAAAGCAGCTGTGGGAAGAACCAGTTCAGCTGGTTCAGCTCCACAAAAAAAGGATGCCTATAGGAGCGACAATTCCCTAAATATTTAACACGTACACCCAAACTGGCCAATGTTTCACCTCTGCCTCCAGTGGAACTGATTGAGGATTGGGAATGAGCAATATTGTGGCAGCTTCTTCATCGGTGAAGGGGGGATGGAATGCCCTCACCAGGTGCTGACACATCATGGTACACAGTCCTGAGTCCTTTTGAACTGTGGTTGGAAAATGTTTGGAATTTCCAGTAGTTTGCCAACACGATCACGTTCTCGCCATAATATTGAGATGCACTCCTCGTTGAACTAGCCCTGTTTCCTGTGGGTTTGCTTTACTTTCGTTGCAGCAACTTGTGTGATGCCATCGAAGGAGGCCTTGGCGGGGAAGCTGAGCACTGTCTCAGCCCATGAACTGAGCCTGTGGGCTGAGAGTTTCTCGTCCCGGATGTGTCACAGCCCATAACTCCATACAGGTTTGGACATCTAGTTGTCAACCACAACCAATTGAAATCAAGATTCTGCCAAGGATTTCAAGTGAAGCTGCAAGTTTGAGATGGCCAACAGCTCCTCAGCTGCAAATCAAAGCGATGATAACATTCTGGGCCTTGCGCATCTTTGTTTGACCTTTTTATGACTTGTTCATTTCTTCCTTCTTATCAGCAGCATAGGGAGAGGATTCTTCATCTCTTCACCAAAAGGGCCCGAATTTACCAAAGCTGTGGCCACAGGCGCCCCGACTCTCAGTACTGAGTAGTGAGTTGCTTCAATGTTGCACACATAATTACAAACACCAAATGTTTTAGACTCAAAACATGCATACAACCGGCTACCGCCGCTATTCTTCAAGAAAAACTGTCTTACAGAATTCCTCCAGCTGTCGACAGATTCTTTGGATCCCAGGTGCTAATGGCTCACAGTGGAGCTGCAACTCTCTGAGGCCTCAGATGTGAAGTCGGCAGAACCACACGTTTTCTTGTAATAGAAATTGGACCAGCAAAGCGTCTTTCCGAATTTCGGTCCATTTTCAGACCTTTCGCATGTTTTTCAGACCTTTCGACACCTTTATATAGACAAGTCTATATAAGCTGTACTTGGAAATGAGTTCGTCTTTGTGCTGTCACTTGTGCCACATGGTTCTGCAGTTCTTGGAGCTCAGTGGTGAGGGCTCGATGCTGAAGGATGAAATCAAAACCTGAATTCCACTCCAAACCCAGGCTTAAGTAACAGGTGCCACGCTAGTAGTAACAGGTGCCTTACTAGTAGTAACAATGTTTGCTATTAGAAACAAGTGCCACGCTACTAGTAACAAGTGCCACGCTACTAGTAACTACTAGTAACAAGCATCTGGGCTTGGGCTTGGAGGAGAACTCGTCGCTTCAGAGATGCGAGAATTCCACGAGTGACCCGACTCAAACCTCTCTGAGCCCCGTTCGTAGCTTCCTTGCTCCTAGTAGCGATGCAAAAAGCCCCTGGTAGCTTCTTGTTACTAGTAGTAAGGCACTTGTTACTAGATGCACTTGTTCCTAGTAGCTTCCTTGCTCCTAGTAAAGCTCCTAGTAGTAAGACATCCGTCGATCCAAGAAACTGTCGACCAAAGATCTGACTACGTCGATCTTCAAATCGCTATGCGCCTTAAAAGGTTTCACAGTCGTTTCCAGTCGGAAGAGGTGAACGGAAAGTCGTTCACGTGATTTGGGAGACTGGCGAACGTGTGAAATTCCGT